AAAAAAAAAAAAAAAAGGCCCAAAGGCAACTTAACTTCCAGAAAAGAAGGAGTCCCCATGGTGTGCAGCGGCCTGGGCACAGGGAGCCGGCGCCAGGCTTTGACTTGGGGCCATGAAGCTCAAGGGACCCATCGCCGGGAGAACCCCGGCAGCAAGGGGAGCGCCGAAGGGTGGCCTTGGTACTGCAAGTCACGAACCCCGCAGAAGTCAGAGCCGGGATGCTCCGGCACCGGCGGGTACGGGGCGAGCTGCGTGTCTGCGTCTGCAAAAGCACCTTTGCAGGCAGAGCTGTGACTCCCTGCGGAAAGGGGATATTTGGCATTGAGCCTACACCATACTGCGCCGTGGGCAAAGTGAAAGAAGCAGCTTTTCCAAAAGAGCCGGCGCCTGCGCTCGACCCGCTTCTCTGAGAGCGCGGAGACCTCGCTCGCTGGGGAAAGAGGCATCGCTCTTTAGGCTGGGACCGGTTGGGGTTTCGGGTGCCCGGGAAGCACGCGCGGGGCTCGGCAGAGCGTGACCCGACCTTCGGCGCGAGAGGGAGAGAGAGAAGAAAAAAACAGAGACACTGCAAGGGGGTTGGGGTCAGCACGTGCATTGCAACCGCATCTCTGTGCTGCGCAAGCAGCCAGGAATCGGCCAGGAAGAAAATCGATTCTAGTCAGAGGCGCACATTTTCTGTGAGTGTTGTGCGCCTTCCTCAAATCTTACTTGTGGTATCTTCAGGAAGGCACTAAGTGAAAGTGAGGCTCACTGAGGGCTGCGCCCTCTCTGAGGCTCTGGCCAAGGCGCCATTTGGCCCTGGCAGGCGCTAAGCAAAGAGCTCTCCAGGGACTCTCCTCTTTTTCTGCTTTTCTTTCTCAGTTTTGAGGCAAGGAAGCCCCCCAAAACAAATTGGGGTTCAAGGCTACCGGGGGCCATGGACTCACAGAGAGGGGACCCCTTAAGGGGGGAAAGTTGATTTAAGCACGAGGTGCCGAGGTGCCCTCCGCGCTTGCGGCCTCCGGGGAGAGGACGGGAATCCCGTTGACGAACATGGGCAGAAACCCTCGGCCCTCGACCTTGCAAGGAGCATCTGAATTGATGGGACCGTGATTTGGCCCCTCCCAAAAAAGAAGGCAGGGCAGCAGACTCGCAGCCAGCCGTCGCCCTCATCCGCTCCAACAACCTCAGAAACACGCCGAAGGCGCGGTGTTCTCTCTCACACCTCCGCCGTCTCTCCGATTCTAAAACCGGGCGCTGAGGCTGACTCCGAGCTTCCCCAAGCGGCCACGGCACCGGGGATCAGCATCTGGGAGCGGACACGTCGAGCCCCACCGGGTGAAAGGCAACAAAAATCAACGCCCCCTAAGCTTAGGCTTTATAGGCTTTATAGGGTTTAGGGTCAACTGAAGCGCCTTGAGGTCCTTCCTCTGCCGGAAGCCTAGACCTGGCAGATTTTGAAGGCAAAAAGGGAGAAGGGAGGAGGGAAGGGAGAGGGAGCGGTGTGTTGCCGGCGCGCCAGAGGAAGAAGCCCCTCCCCCCCCCCCGCCCCCCCGGCCCTCCCCGCGACCCTTGGAGTCGGCCCTCAGGAAGCCGTTGTCCACGCGAAAGCGCTGACCCTCCTGGGATCCCCGCTCGCCTGAGAGATCCGTTAACTTATAAGGCAGGGAAGGAGAAGGAAGAGGCAAAAAAAAAGCGCGCAAAAGCGGTGGAGTGGAGAGCGCGCAAGAGCCCGAGGAGCGGACCCCGGCCAGCACTGCCAGCTCTCAGCCTGGGGGCCGCGTGGGCACTTTTTCGCACTCGTGCTTTTTTACGGGGGCCGCGTCAGGGGCACTTCTCTCGCACACTCGCTCTTCTTCTGGGGAGCCCGGGCCGGCGATGCAACTTGTGCAGGTGCGCCTCTCAGCAAAGCCGAAGCCCCCGAAGACTCTGCTCAGAGACCTTTTTGCAGTTCGCACTTAGCGCCCTGCCATGGCCACGGGCCGGAGGTCGGCGACCTCCTGAGACGGGAGCTGAACCCTTTCGGCCGCGGCAATTTCCCCCCGCCCCGTTTTTGGTGCCTCTGCGGCTTTAGGATGAGCCGTGACCTGCAGCTCCGGAGCAGCTTGAGGGTGTATAGGGGTGCGTAGGACCGTGCAGACGTTTGGGGGTGAAAGCTGTGGTCGCGGGCGAGGTTGTGCGAACACCTCGATGACGACCTGGACCTAAAGAGCACTCAGCACACACACACACGCACGCACGCAC